AGACAGGTATTACATGTATATATTATCACAGATAGGTATTACACATGTATATATTATCACAGATAGGTATTACACATGTAATTACTACTACAGACAGTTTTACATGTATATATTATCACAGATATGGAAAATAGTTGTATTTATTTATTTTCTCATTATATAAATATCTGTTTTAACATGATATCTTGTATTTGAATGGTAATAAAGTGTATGCTGTAAGTGTTACCATGTATCTGGCTTGTGTGAAATGCCTTTTAGGTCACAAAATACAATTGTATCTCTACAAAATATATCTTGATCAATTTAATATCTCAAAGACTTTAAAGAACATGCACCTGATGATGAAATATCACTTATCTGTATACATATGTATTAAATAATGAAATATTACTTCTTGTCTGTAATAGTACAAGTAAATACAAGTTCATAACCAGTTTGAAACAATGAATTAATGTTCCTTACAATACAGTATATTGATAGAACATAGAATTACAAATATATAAGTATGTTCTTTAATGTCTGTAGATAGTTAAAACAATTTTATCTGAAACAATATAATTAAAGATCCATAGCCTGTCTGTGATAATAAATACAGGTGAATGACCAGTCTGAAACAGTAAATAAAAAAATATGTTCCTATGTCTATCGATATGTTATACAGAGACCTTAACTGCTTAATGCGGTCTGTGATAAGCAGCCCGAAACAATTAATAAATGTTCCTAATATGTTTGTTATAGTAAATACAAGTTTATAACCAGTCTGAAAACAATTAATAAATGTCCATTACCTGTCTGTGAATTTGTACGGTTAATATTACAATTTTATCAAATTACTTTAATTTTTTTTAGAGGAAATCCGTGAAGAAAATCAAGATAAAACATTTTAATGAATAAATTGTAAGTAATACATGCAGTAGGATCGTTTTCCTTCAGTTATGAAATACATAGGAACATCCCTTTCTCCACGACTTTCCCCCATCTACTTTATAAAGCTTATCCTTTAAAAATAATGTTAATACCGCTATAACCAGACCTATTTGGTGGCATTAAACTCCTACTTTCACTTTCACATACTTCATTTCCGGTCAAGAGATACGAAACTAAGGCTTTCGATTTAATGCTTTACCGAGCGCTGTTGAGGAGGGTTTATTATCTCAAATTCAAATCTCGTTCTTTATAAGATATCTTATAACCGAATTATATAAGATATCTCATTTAATTTTGTTTATAAGATATCTTATATATTATATAAGATATCTTCTAAAAGATATAAGATATCTCATTTAATTTTCTTTATAAGATATCTTATATCTTTTATGAGATATCTTATATAGAAAGGTATATAAGATATCTTATAAAATATATAAGATATCTCATAAAGTATATAAGATATCTCATAAAGTATATAAGATATCTTATATAATTAAATAAGATATCTTATATAATTTGGTTAAGTACTGGATCAACATTGCTCCATTCATAAATGACAACTTGGCTTGCCATACAAAACACACACACATACACTACACGCATGCATCTTGAACACTAGGTAGGCCGTCCTTAAATGACCATAGCTGTTGGTAGGACGTTAAACAATACTAAACCAAACCAAACCAAAGTTAATAGTTTTAATCCCTGCGGAACCGGAGTCCGTTGCTTGCAAGCTATTCTGCTGGCAACATATCAAGTGATTAGAGGACATTTAGACGTCTCTACAAGCTCAAATTTTCTATTGCCGTTAAACGAACAACAATAACTTGTTCACTTGTTTTTCATTGCAAGGATAAAATGAATTTTCAGATAAAATCTTAGGACCATAAGCAGTTTCAGACTTGTCAAAACCACTATGGATTGGAAAAGCCAAATCCAACAAAGCTTTCGATTACAATACGTGTCCAACAAAAACCGGCTTTCCGAATGAAGTAAGCATTGCCAGACAGAACATTGGTGTTGTGACCTGCAGACATTTCTGTCATCACTGTAAGTATCCAATTCGATGATAAACCATCGACACATTTCGAACCCACAACCCAGCGCTAGTTCTACAGGATAATAAACACGCAATCAAATCCTACCCCTAACCCTAACCCAGAGCTAGTTCAACAGGATAATAAACACGCAATCTAATCCTACCCCTAACCCTAACCACAACCCAGAACTAGTTCTACAGGATAATAAACACACTATCAAATCCTACCCCTAACCCTAACCACAACCCAGAACTAGTTCTACAGGATAATAAACACGCAATCAAATCCTACCCATAACCCTAACCACAACCCAGGACTAGTTCTACAGGATAATAAACACGCAATCAAATCCTCCGACCTGGTTACGCACCAAGATGTTTTCTGAAGCAATGCCTTGAAGCATTGATTACGTCAATCATGTAGAAGTCAATTGCTTGTTGACAAAGTAAGGTTCTGTTGATTACTGTATACTCCAGAAGTGGATTGGGGATTTTGAAGAATTCAAAAGAACTTTTGATCAATTTCAAAGATCTATTCCTCAAAAAGTGTATCTTCTATCAAAACTGTGGACCTTTCTCCTCTTCACATCACCAAACCTTATATCAAACCAAAAGAACGCCTTCATTATCTTATCATGAGAGCTTTCCTTTCCAAGAAAGACAAACGGCGATATGAATTTATGGATTTGAACTATTTTAGAGCATAAATATTGTGAAAACCAAAACAAAGACTACAACGAAATATACTGAGGAAAATGTCGTGAGAATAATAGTTTCTGGTTGAAAATATCATTGTTGAAATCGGTAGTAAAAGTTTCAAGCAATTCTTATGAGATCAATTATACTCCGTCACTTTCATTTGTTTTTATAAGAAGCTGAAATTATTGAAAACCCTACCATGTCCTTCAACTTCAATATCGATTTCTTTAAATAACGACATTTCTTGACCATACCCTCCTGAACTTGGAATCAATGGCTTTACACGATCTTTGATTACAACACGACCAGGGACAGTTCACTAATAAGCTGTACGATAAGCGAGACGATTTCTATTTTTCCTGTGATGGACGTAATATTATTATGATTTGACCTAAGTTCACAAGGCGGTGTCGTTGATGAGGCAGAATATATATATGCTAACACTCCTGATGTGTGTACGACTACTGTTGAAGTAGTCTAGAATGGACGAATGAACTGTTGCTCCGTGGCAAATATATCGTTCGTATTTAGGAACTTTTAAGAGATTCTGTCCCAGCATCTAAAGATTCATCTCCATGCAAGCAGTCTTAATGATAATACATGTACGCAACCAGCCAATCGCACACGCAGAGCCACTCTACTGATAATACCCTCCTTAAATGTAAATGTCTGTAGTGGTATTGTTGTCACTTTGGATAACACGAGTAGACTGTTGTTTTGTAATGCTCTACTTAACTGATGCTTATGACGTCAAAATGACCACGAGATATTCTGAAACGTCTAGATTACTCTCCTATTGGGTTAATTGGAGATGTTGCACAAGGGAACTATAATTTCTTGAAACACGAAGTAAGGAACCATCTATTTATCGTTGCTGACAGCTAAGCATTTACTGCGTCGAGTGGCCATTTCGTCCCAAAACTTTTCGTTAGGTTACTAACAAAAAATCTGGATTTTGGGGTTTCTCAAGAGTCGCCGTGAGGACATTGAAAATATCTTCTTTATTCAAAACCAATCGAGAGAATCTGTTGTCAGCGTAACCTATAATAGTCTGAAAGCTTGCCTAGCAGAAAACAGTATCTTGATTAACGCCAATATCTACTTAAGATTAATTAAGTAAGGACAACTTTTCACGCTAGGGGTTGGTGCTAAAAATGTTAAGGAAGACACAGCTATACATACTAAGCAAAGACTTTTTTCTTCCTCTTTCAAATGTACTTCTCTATTTCCTTTTTAACAATCATTTCGTATTTGGATGTTTGCTAAGTTGGGCTACTTTTGGGAGTTGAATGTTTCTACAAAACGACGTCTTGGAATCCACTGATTTAGACGTTATCGCTGGCCTTTGTTGTCTCTTCAGCCATCTTTTCTTTTTCTTGCCGCACAGCTGTTATTCCAGATAGGACAAGATAATGTTTCTCTTTATATTTTCGAATAAAGAAATCAATAATTCCGTTTTATATGGAGGTTGATGTGACGTTGCAATTGGTTGCTGTGGATGCATGCCCAGTATTTCCTCCTTGACTGATTGATGTTTTCGTATCCTTTACACACCACTGTTGTACTTATTCACCATCCGAGTTCAGTTAATCAAGTTTTTTTTTACACTTTTGTTATCTCTCTAAACCTTTTTTATCTGTGAATATCTTATTTCAACAACTCTACACGGACTGTAGGTTAAGGCGCAAAACATCGGAATTTCAAATTTCGTGTCTTTACCTATGTAATTGCAATTTGCTAAACAATGTTCTAGACATCCCCGTATGATATGGTCTCGAAGAATCTCAAGCATAGCTAACATTTCCAATGTTCTACCGTGCGTTGATGCTAAAATACGTGTTCTGATTTGGAATTCGGCAAATTGCTGAGGAAGAGTGAATACACACATATTGTGTTTGGAAAGAAGACGCCTTTTTATATTCGAAACACAAGTTGTGCGTTACGTTCCTCTTTGAATGAGTAGGTGTATAGACAAGGCTGTCTGTCTATGGCGTGTTCTTGGGTTTCCAGTAGTAAGAACGTTTTATAATACTTGTTGGTGAACTAGCGTAGAAGAGTATAAGAGTTATAGCTTTGCATGTGCGGGGGTCGATCATTGTAAATTCTTCGGCGTGGCAGTGACTGAACTGTGACTGTGGTTGATGACGTGCCGTGCTGCTCTTCTCTACACTTTTTCTATTTTGTTTATGAAGTTGGTATAGTGTAATAACGTGAAGAACATTTTTATATATCGGGCCTGAAAGCCTTGTGAACATGTTCTCTGGCGTGTGATTAATTTACTTTTAGGTTGCATTTTCAGACAGCCCGGGATTTGCATTTGAACAATTCTATGTTGAGGTATTACATGCACAATGTACATTTGTATTTATTATAGTCATTGGTTACCAAGTACCCAACAAGAACAGCATCAGTATAATCAACAACAACAACAAAAGAAATCATACGGCAAGATAGGAAAATTAAAGATCCAGCTGGTACAAGTCTCTATAAATAAAGTATGTGGCTAATCTTAAATATGTTCAAATGTGCAAGTACTATTTTTTATATCACATATTTTTTGCAAGTATCTCGTTTTTCATTTATTTCTTCAGATTATCAGAACTGAAACAATATAGAACGGGAGCTTTTGATCACATACTCATAGTTATAACATTTGTATGGTGATAAAACAAAAAGTAAAAAAAGTTATCACAGTTTTTATATTTACATCACGCTTTATAATCTAATATACTGTAACTCTGGTACGGCATCATATTAAACTTCATAAAATGTTTTTATCTTGACAAAAGGTCTCAAACTCTTCATATCCTTCCACTAACAAATTAGCATTCTTCAATTCCTTTCATTGACAAGTTATTGTAGTCTCTGTAAACATTCGCTCCTTTCCACTAACAAGTTGTACAACCTGACCGAAGTTAAATTCCTCTAACAGGTTGTACAACATGACTTACGTTTCTTCCATCCAAGTTGAAATCTCCGACATTCTTCAGTTCTCACTAACAAGATGTTCCAATCTTTTCAATCCTTCAAACCATTTCACTCACAAATCGAACCAATATTTTTGATTCTTCAGTCCCTTTCACTAACAAGTTTTACTTATCTTTTCAATTCGTCAGTCGCTTACATTAACAAGTTGTACCAATCTTTTCAATTCTTCAGTCCCTTTCACTAACAAGTTTTACTTATCTTTTCAATTCTTCAGTTCCTTCCATTAACAATTTGTACCAATCTTTTCATTTCTTCAGTCCCTTCCATTAACAAATTGTACCAATCTTTTAATCCTTCAATCTTTACATTAACAAATTGTACCAATCTTTTCATTTCTTCATTCCCTTCCATTTACAAATTGTACCAATCTTTTCCAATCTTCAGTTCCTTCCACTCACAAGTTATAATGTATATGTGTATTTAACTAAATGTTCAGTCCATAGTCACCACCACTTTCCCAATGTTCTGTCGCTTTGAGATCATGTCAAAAGCTTTGTTGATCTGCGAATATAAAAGAGAATGAAAAGTTCTTTTAAAAATGACAATTCTGTTTAACAATGACAGTTCTGTGTAAGTAGGGAAACATGCACATTGAATGAAATTAGAAAAAGATTTTCATGTATTTCTTTAGAAATAGCAATAGCGGTTTTTAAACTCACAAAATCCAAGAGTGCTGTCTGGCAGACACCTTATTTTCTGATCAGCCTCAAAATAAAAGATGTACAACTAAGGGACAAGGGAAACCTCTATAGGATATTTGAAAAATATCTGTTGGGCTCTTCTTCAGAAATAATGATAAAAAAACCAATTGCCAAAAGATTACTGTCTTGGGGCATCTTGTTTTAGCAACCAGCCGCAAAATAAAACCTGCACAACTGAGAACAAGGGGAACCTTAATATAAAGTTTGAGAAAGAGACAGATGGATGGCGAACCATGAAAAAGAAATTGAACAGTCCCCAATCTGATGATGGTTAGATGATCAAAGCATGGTATAATCAATGTGAATACAACATACCAGTATGATTAGTAGGACAAGATGTTGGAGGATATTTGCTTACATGATAATTACTGTTTTTGTTTTCTTTGTTTGGTGGTTTTTTTTTTACTTATAATAAACTGTTAATCACTCTATTTTTGTGAAAAGACTAATTTCAGTGTTAATTAGAAATGTGTTTGAACCGATGTAACCTTACCTCTGACAACGGCAGCACAGCTCCGACATGAGGTGAGAAGTCCCCAGACACTAGCCCATCTACACACCTATCTATAGACTCAGAGAAGACAGGGCTGTTCTTTGTGCCGTAGTCGCCCCAATATAAACCTATAGCTGACACAGACTTGATCAACAGGTAATTGGCTGGAATGTTGGGAATCTTTCCCGAGGTATAACCAATCGTCAGGATTCTACCTTCATGGGCAAGGCTGTGGGAAAAAGGATGAATTTGTTATAATTGACAGCATCAACATACGGTCAAATCTTTTTCAAATGATTACTCAAGTAAAGGTTATTTAACAACTTCCAAAGAAAATAATAACAAATGATTGCTAAAGAAAATAACAACCCAAGGAAAGATTGACAAGAGACCAAAGAACTTAATTTCTTACCTACATTTTGTGATTCTATTTTTGACATTACCCCTGTGACCTTCAGAGCGGACCAAGGTCATATACTTGACCAACAGTAGGGATTCAGCGTACGCTAGATAACACCTTTTCTTACTTGTAATTAAAAAATCTTTTTTTTTTTTAAACACATCAATGTTCACAAGTCATGTTTCTTGCATTTCAACTTTAGGGTAAAATAGATCACCTTGAGAAAAAATTGATAGTAACCTCTGTGAAATAAACATATTTACCTAAATCGTTATTATATAAAATGAATTTCAAAATAATGATCAAATAATTACTATAACACAGATATAAGGAATTAATTATCAATTTTAATATGTTCAAACTGCATCAAAATCCAGTAGCTTTTCAAACATATGCTGCTTTACCAGTGTTAAGCATAATAACTTTCATAAATCTAAGCCAGTCAGTGCTTTGTCAGCCAATAAATCTGAGCCAGTCAGTGCTTTGTCAGCCAATAAATCTGAGACAGTCAGTGCTTTGTCAGCCAATAAATCTGAGACAGTCAGTGCTTTGTCAGCCAATAAATCTGAGACAGTCAGTGCTTTGTCAGCCAATAAATCTGAGCCAGTCAGTGCTTCGTCAGAAAATAAATCTGAGACAGTCAGTGCTTTGTCAGCCAATAAATCTGAGCCAGTCAGTGCTTTGTCGGCCAATATCTGAGCCAGTCAGTGCTTTGTCAACCAATAAATCTGAGCCAGTCAGTGCTTTGTCAGCCAATAAATCTGAGCCAGTCAGTGCTTTGTCGGCCAATAAATCTGAGCCAGTCAGTGCTTTGTCAGCCAATAAATATGTGATTTTAACAACTATGTATTCCAATGTATCATATGAATAAGGGAAATTTCCCTTATTCATATGATGCATTGGAATACATAGTTGTTAAAATCACATATTAATTCAGTAGCAAAAATATTTTTATATATTGTATAATCTACTGTAGTATCTCTTTCAAATTTCAGGATAAGACAAAATATTCCTGCAAAAGGCATAGAGAATGCTTAAATCTTATTCAACAGGAAAATTACAAGATTTTTTAATTGTTACATTTTAAACTATCTACAAGGATGAAAATATTACTACATCAAAACAGATGGGGATATATATTATGGTGTTATCTTTGGCTCCATAATCCAAATGACATCACGCTTGACAATGAAGTTGCATGCTTTAACACAACTCTACCATTATCTGCTAATATTTGGTCAGATTTGCTTACATTAATTGTATAAGTTTTGTAGGTAATTATAATACCTAATTATATGCAGCAAAGACATACCAAAACAACGACTAATTAGGGCCCCGTATCGGAGATACGGGTGCTCTATAGTAATCACTTTGTCTGTCTGTCTGTCTGTCTGTTCGTCCACACATTTTGTTCCTGGCTGATAACTTTGGTATTTATTGACCGATGTACAAAGGTCAAAGGTCAAGGTCATTAGGTTCAAATGTCAAGGTCAAATTTTGCATCTTTTTACTGATGAACATTTTGTTATGACATGATGAAGCAAAGTTGATCAGAATTAAACAAGGAGTCAACCTGACCAAAAGTCAAGGTCATTGGTTCAAAGGTCAAGGTTAAATTTTGTATCTTTTCACTGGTGAACATTTTGGAATGACACTTTGAAGCAATGTTGCTCAGAATTAAACAAGGAGTCAACTGACCAAAGGTCCAGGTCATCGGGTCAGGGGTCAAGGTCAAATTTTGTAGCTTTTCACTAATGAGCATTTTATGACATGAGGCAAAGTTGTTCGGAATTAAAATCAGAGACACACTGAGGTAAAAAGTTGAGGTCAAAGGTTAAGGTAATTAGATTCAAAGGTCAAGGTCAAATTTTGCATCTTTTCACTGATAAACATTTTGATATGACATGATGAAGCAAAAATGATCAGAGTTAAACAAGAAGTCAACCTGACCAAATGTCAAGGTCATTGGGTCAAATGTCAAGGTTAAACTTTGTATCTTTTCACTGGTGAACATTTTGGTATGACACTTTGAAGCAATGTTGCTCAGAATCAAACAAGGAGTCAATTGACAAAAGGTCAAGGTCACTGGGTCAAAGGTGAAGGTTAAATTTTGTTATGACATGCAGCAATGTTGGTCAGAATTAAACAAGGAGTCAACTGACTTAAGGTCAAGGTCATTTTATGTTATTATGTAGCAAACTTGTTCAGAACTTAACACAGAGTCAACTGACCTTAGGTCCAGGTTATGGGTACGAAAGGGTCACGCAAGGTCAAATTTTGTACTTTTCACTGATGAACATTTTTTTATGATATTATGAAGCAAAGTTGGTCGGAATTAAAGAATAAGTCAACTGACCAAAGATCAGGGTCACTGGGTTAATGGTCAAGGTCATTTGGGTCCAAAGGTCAAAGACAAAGTGGTTCTCTGACTTTGACCCTGGCTCTTGATGGAGGAGGTATATAAGGTGAAATAAAACAAATCAAGGCTAACAAATGAGTATTGCACCGGTATTTACATTTCTGTTAGCCCAGCAAATATGGAGGTGGAAGGAAACAAAACTCGCATCATGATCATAGCACATGTAAAATGTATATTTTGCTACCTTGCGATTCTGTTTGAAGTCCAAATGTCAAACGTCAAGCTCAGCTATATGGGCAGATTGCTTCTTGATGATTATGGGGGATAAATTGCCACAAGACGGGGCCCTTACTGACCTGTCAGTGTTCTAGTTCTATTGTCACTTCTGATTGGTTATTTACAGTGGCAAAGATATCTTTTTTAACAAGTTGCTAGAATTTAACTTATTGGAATATTCACTCCCGAAGACACAATTTAACTCTTTCAATTCAAAGGTTGGAATATTTCATCATGAAATTTCAGGGTGAAGGAGTTTATATTTCACTGTCAAAAATATAATTAAAATCCAGATCAGACGTTATACACATATGATATATGATGTAAACTTTTGAAATATCAAACAGAATAAAATTAAGTTTTGAAGGTGAGAATATCATACAAGAGGCCCAAGGGCCTTAGCGGTCACCTGAGCTATACCATAGGTGCTGGTAGCTTTATTTTATTGTTTAGATGAGATGTGGAAATCAGCATGTAAACTAAGTGAAATAAAATACTTGTCATATCATCAAAGGATAAGAATTTGAAAATATTGGTAAATGTTCCCTTTCAGGCCCCACCCTGGCCCCTAGGGTTGGGGTAGGAATTTCAATTTTACAATTTGAAACCATCTTTCTCCAAGGATAATTCTCACCAAGTAAAAATAATTTCCTACAGAAAGTCGTCAAAATATACCCAAAAGTGTTATTTCACTATATAAACCATAGTAAACTTTACCCCCTCCCCAAGGGAGAATGGATAGCTCGGGGGTTATTGGATAATATTGGTTAATTTTCCCTTTGGGGCCCCACCCTGGCCCCAGGGGTTGGGGTAGGAATCCCAATTTTACAATTTTGTAGCCTCATCTACCAAGCAAAGCTCAAGTGACCTGAAAATATAAATATTATTATTGGAGAAGGTTGAAATATTTCCTTGACAATCTCACCTCTTCAGACATTCAAGGAACAAATCTCCTCCTACAGTATCAAACACCACGTCTGGACCCTTTCCGTTGGTGAGTTCTTTGAGCCGGCCTCGGACATCCTCCGTGTTGTAGTCTATGACGTGGGATGCTCCTTTACTCTTTACGATGTCGGCCTTGTTTTGACCGCCACAGGAACCTATCACCTATGTGAACACCAAACAAACAGGAAAAGCTAAGCACTGAATTGTTTTTTTATGGAATATTCCACCTATATGAATGACACAGCTTTGCAGGTAAACATCTAAGGCCTTGGGAACTTGGTATTATTATATAGAGGCAGTACCTTGGAGTGGTCAATATGATGTGCGGACAAAAGATAGCTGATACCCCAAGGTAATATAACATGTTCTGTACACTTCACTCATCTGTACTCATTTATTTTACTAACAAGTAAATTACTAAGATCTAATGATTTATAGTAAGAACCTGAATATTTACTAATAAAGGCAGACTATGTTACAAATGTTTTACCTACCTTTGCCTTTAGAAGCTTTGAACCAATTTCCACGGCTGCCAATCCTGTGCTTCCTGCTGCTCCAGTCACAAACAATGTTTCTCTGTGATAAAATCTTAAGTATCAGCTTGTGTATTCTCAGGCCCTACAGTCTTAAGTGGTTTCAGGCCCTACAATCTGAAGTCAGGCCCTACAGTCTTAAGTGATTTCAGGCCCTACAGTCTGAAGTCAGGCCCTACAGTCTTAGGTGATTTCAGGCCCTACAGTCTGAAGTGATTTCAGGCCCTACAGTCTTTAGTGATTTCAGGCCCTACAGTCTGAAGTCAGGCCCTACAGTCTTAAGTGATTTCAGGCCCTACAGTCTTAAGTGTTTAATCATCATGTTAACATGATCACTACAGACCTATCTAATCTATATGTTATACTCCACAGAGACCAAACTGGCTTTTATTTGGAGGGGTTAAGTATGCATACTATACTTCCTAAGAGAGTACTAGTATACAAGTAAATTGTTGTGACAAACCATTGTTTTGTTCATTTTTTCTGATCTCTAAAATCTAATGCAAATTTGGCACTTAAAGATGTGAAGGTGTAAACTTGACCAGGTAGTTACTTATGTTACCTAATGATTCGCTGTGAGCGTATGTAAGAATAGAAAGTTATAAAGACAAAATGTTTGGTTTGTTAACCCTAAAACCTGTTACCCTAAACTCATAAAACATTAAGTATAGCATGGCCTGTTACCCTAAACTCATAATATGCAATTCGTTTGTCATGAAACAGGTTCAAAACATTGTTGAATGACTCCACATAGAATGTGTCCATGGCCATGATGTAGTCTTCTGGGTGTTGGTATATTGCACTTTTCTGGATTGCGTTGCGCAAAAGTAGCTCAGCCTTTGGGTCCTTGATGATCATTTTTGATGGCTGGTGGTTGGGGTATGTCCTACAGTTTGATTTTTCTGAGCAACCAGTGTGCACATTTTGATAATGCTGGACAATATTGTCCAGACTTTATTTGAGTTTTTGAGCATTTCCCTCACATTCTCTGATGCTATAATGCACATGAGTTCTTATTGATGACACTTTGTCAGAGAGTTGTGAGTGCCACGTTATTCCATGCTTGTACCGTGGACCAAATGCTACTCCTTTCAATAGTTGTTCCTCCTGTTTACCAGCATGCCAAGTGTCATTCTGATTTTTCGTGGCATGGTTATCCCGAATTTACTTGTTGATGGAAAGGTTTCAATCATGTGCGTGTGCTGATATTATAACTGGTCCCAGTTCATGGTCTTCAAAATGTTGATATATCCTTTCTGTTCCAAGTTTTTCATGTCGCTGAGCATATAAATCATCATCTTTTGTAATTATTTCATCCAACAAAACTTTGTGTGTTTCATACCCAATACAAACAACATCAGTCTGTCGGGAGTTTTTTCTCCAACCGTGTCGGGCGTCTGTGACAATTTTGATACCTTCAAAGTCCTCCATCTGGCCTTCATGGTTGATAACAGCCGTCGCCATTTCAGTTGACAAAGCATCCTTACAGGAATCGTTGTACTCATACGCAACCGCTAGGTTAAAATCTTGTGCAACATGGTCACGATGGAAAGCCTCGGTCAATGTTCCAATATCAGCTGCTTCAGTCAGCCTCTTGAACTGATTGGGGATTATCCCAGAACACATATAGCCATGTGCCATCCGATGGTTTACCAAAAACTTTTCATTTGGTAAATATGGTGAAGATGGCCAATTCTGTAAATCACCATCACCATTGACACAGTACAGTTTTAGTACAGATGCATGTCCTTTCTTGTATTTCTCATCAGCTTCAATGTGACAGCTTTTGCACAGATTTGAGTGTTCAGTGACAATCTTTGCCAGGAGCTTTACAGATGAAATAACTGTAAGAAAAACTGGTTGATCAACATCTTCTCTGTCTGCTTGAATATAACCAGAAGTTGTAGAAATACTCTGTTCCCTCATCTCTTCATCATCGTCATCATCATCAACTATTCTTTCCTGGTGTCCAAAAAGAAATCAAGCACTCTGTTGATTGCCTCTGTATTTGAGACATTATCCATAGCCCCTGATAATACGTTTTTCACCTTTGAAAGTTTTGATTTCACACTTTCTCTCACTTCATCATCTCCAGTAAGCTCTAATGTAAACCTCTTTGGTCCTCCAGATTCCCTATACCGTCTATTATAATTTGCCTTTTTTCACTTTTCTCTGCCCATAGTCTTCATTTCTGTCCGCCATTATGTGTATATGGGTTGTTACAAAATGAATAGAATGTTCAAGAAGTAGTAGAACACTATCCCTATTTATCCAATGAAAGGCTAAATAATTTTGGGTTTAGTTGATCATAATATATTGAGATTAATTTGATTATCTCCCTGCCTAATATTTTCCTAGCACATCCGGAATTAATTTTATACAGTTACATAATATGACATAATGTGAAATGTTACCTAAGGATAAAACCTCCTGTTGATAAATACATTCAACGAGAATACAAAGGACATCTCATGAAGAAGTAAACAAACATACACAGTAAACACAACATAAAATGCCTTGGCCTAAACCCATCCCAAACAGTTTCCTTCAGCTAACATTTCCTTTGATATTTGAGATATCTTGACCAATCCCATAGACACATCTCCCGCTAAATTTTTCCAAGCCAGTACAAGGTAATATGGCTGACAGTGAAAGAAGACATCTTGTTTGTCTTTTGATGACAAGAGAAGAAGAAGAAATAGTCGACGGGATATTAACAGTGCATGGTTGGGATTTAATAAGGGCAACACAGCATGACCAAATACCTGTGATACAAAGTACAAATACAGGCAATGATATAGATGGTGAGGAAGCTGGACCACTTCTGGTGACACAAGGACAACCTGAGACAGCTTCAAGTGGTAATAGTTCAAATTTAGCCGCGAATTCTGATGGACGGTTCAGCGATACCGAATGTCCACATTGCTTTTGTGACAGATGTGTTGTTGATGAGACCAATAGACAATTGTGGTGGCCTGAAATGAACGCTTTCCCAAATAGCAGGAATAGACAATTACGAAATAAACTCTACAAACGATTTTGGGCCATTTTGAGTAATAGAGGTGCATGGGCAGATCAACGATACTTTTTGAGAAAACAGAGGGCACTTGGAGTTGATCCAACAAGAAAACATTATATCTGGCATAAAAGAGATATAATGCCAAATTGTGGATTGAATACAGTTAGAATGTGGTACCCCAAAACATCAACTGAGGAATATGTTGGTCATTCATGGGGCAGTAATTAATCAGTACTTTTTGTTTATATTTTGAAATCTCAACTCATTGACTACTATGAAATAAAATTCAGGAATTTAAGAGGAATAAAGGCAATTAATACAAGTAAGTGAGCATGTTTAGTTGTTAATCAACAAGAGCTGACCAGTGACCTGAGCCAGTGACCTCAGATAGCCTTACAATGTAGACAGTCAATGTCAGTTGGGAGCTGTTACTCCCCACACTATTTGAAATTGGAATAGTCCGAAAGTACTAAATTCAAATATTTGGAATAAAAATATGTAATATCTTGGTTATTAAGAAAAGTCATTACTTCAGAGTAGGATTTGATAAATAAGCACACTTTTATTTTCACACCTGCCATTTTTTGGTAAAAATATGTGGTTATTTAGACTAAAATTTCAAAACAAGTAGAGCAAGTGAAACACTTCTGCTGCAGTTTAAAGTTGTACATGATCTGCCATGTTTTATTAAGGTCCACTATTTATAGGTGAGCTCGGTCTTTAAGTATAGCATGGCCTGTTACCCTAAACTCATAATATACATTAAGTATAGCATGGCCTGTTACCCTAAACTCATAATGTACATTGAGTATAACATGACCTGTTACCCTAAACTCATAATATACATTAAATATAGCATGGCCTGTTACCCTAAACTCATAAAACATTAAGTATAGCATGGCCTGTTACCCTAAACTCATAATATACATTAAGTATAACATGGCCTATTACCCTAAACTCAAAATATACATTGAATATAGCATGGCCTGTTACCCTAAACTCATAATATACATTAAATATAGCATGACCTGTTACCCCAAACTCATAAAACATTAAGTATAGCATGGTCTGTTAACCCTAAAATCATGATAAATATTTAGTATAACATGACCTATTAACCTGTAACTCAATTTACGCTTATTAAATAACATATATTGTTGTAACAAAGTTGACATAAAAGCTGCATATGTTCTAGACTATATTTACCACTCCTGTAGTAACAGTACATCTAGGCTATATAACCACTCCTGTAGTAACATTACATCTAGACTATATTTACCCCTCATGTTGTAACAGTACATCTAGACTATATTTACCCCTCCTGTAGTAACAGAACATCTAGACTATATTACCCCTCCTGTAGTAACAGGACATCTAGGCTATATTACCACTCCTGTAGTAACAGTACATCTAGACTATATTACCACTCCTGTAGTAACAGTACATCTAGACTATATTTACCCCTCCTGTAGTAACAGTACATCTAGACTATATTTACCCCTCCTGTTGTAACAGTACATCTAGACTATATTTACCACTCCTGTAGTAACAGAACCTCTAGGCTGTATTCACCCTTCATGTAGTAACAGGACATCTAGGCTTTATTTACCACTCCTGTAGTAACAGTACATCTAGGCTGTATTCACCCTTCATGTAGTAACAGTACATCTAGACTATATTTACCCCTCCTGTAGTAACTTTACATCTAGGCTATATTACCACTCCTGTAGTAACAGTACATCTAGACTATATTTACCCCTCCTGTAGTAACAGTACATCTAGGCTATATTACCCCTCCTGTAGTAACATAACCTCTAGGCTATATTACCACTCCTGTAGTAACAGTACATCTAGGCTATATTTACCTCTCCTGTAGTAACAGAAAATCTTGGCTATATTAACCGCTCCAGTAGTAACAGTACACCTAGGCTATATTACCTCTCCTGTAGTAACAGAAAATCTTGGCTATATTTACCCATCCTGTAGTAACAGTACATCTAGGCTATACTTACCCCTCCTGTAGTAACAGACCATCTAGACTATATTACCCCTCCTGTAGTAACAGTACACCTAGGCTATACTACCTCTCCTGTAGTTACAGAAAATCTAGGCTATATTTACCCCTCCTGTAGTAACAGTACATCTAGGCTATATTACCCCTCCTGTAGTAACAGGACATCTAGGCTATATTTACCACTCCTGTAGTAACAGTACATCTAGACTATACTTACCCCTCCTGTAGTAACAGAACATCTAGACTATATTACCCCTCCTGTAGCAACAGAACATCTAGACTATATTCCCCCTCCTGTAGTAACAGGACATCTAGGCTATATTTACCCCTCCTGTAGTAACAGAACCTCTAGGCTGTATTCACCCTTCATGTAGTAACAGGACATCTAGGCTATATTTACCACTCCTGTAGTAATAGTACATCTAGGCTATATTTACCCCTCCTGTAGGAACAGTACACCTAGGCTATATTACCTCTCCTTTAGTAACAGAAAATCTAGACTATATTTACCCTTCCTGTAGTCTGGCCTTCCTAGTAAGTGCCATCAGGGAGGTTCCATAGCTGACTATTGATGCTGCAGCAACCTCATATGATACCTGTAGTAACAGTACATCTAGGCTATATTTACCCCTCCTGTAATAACAGTACATCTAGGCTATATTTACCCTTCCTGTAGTCTGGCCTTCCTAGTAAGTGCCATCAGGGAGGTTCCATAGCTGACTATTGATGCTGCAGCAACCTCATATGATACAGAATCTGGAAATGTTCTTAAAACCTGCGAAAATTGAAGAAACAAGTTTTATGCTAGTAAACCTGAGTGGGTTAAAAGGTAATTAATTAAAGAAAAAATGATAGCCCTGAATCTCAGCAGAACTGTATGTCAAATCCAATGACTCTAGGTTTCATAGTTTGAAAAAGAAATGATTTACCAGTAAGTAAACATATTTGACCTCTGGTCATGGGATCTTGTTGAAGAGTATCAAGGTCATTCAAGGTCATTTATCAAGTGTCCTTTACCCTACAAAATTATAGGCCAAAGATCTAGAGTATGACTGAGTATGACGGTTCGGCACATGACATTTGAAAATGACTTCAAAGTTAATAAAAAAACCATTGTAAAATTAGGTCAAGGTTATTCCTTTGATAAAAAAAACACTGAGTATAATCCTCCCCTCTTTTAAAGTAGGAATATCGTTTGTTTAACAATAAAAAAACAATATGCCATGTTTCAATAATAAAATATTTCAGTCATTTCAAAAAATGAAAGTATACAGGACGAGACGGGCAAAGAAATGGCACAAATGAACAGCCATGGCCAAGATCATGACTATCTTAATTTGTGCTAAAAAATCAGCGCCTCCATCAGTGTTCCCAGAAACACCCAAATAAGACTTTTTCATCCCCAAAGCGGTTGGCTATACCCAAGGTACATGTATTCAACTATTGCTCTATGTAGCTACCTAAGGGTACAGAATCTTCAATATGTATCGAATATCTCCCAAAATCTAATATTTAGTGGGTACACCGTTCATATTTTATCCAATGCTATTTTTCATATTCAAGTTATAGAGATGACACAGGGCTCTGTGACTTCTGTGTGTGCCGAGATGACACAGGACCCTAGCTGTGACTACTGTGTTTGCTGAGATAAAACACAACCCCGCGACTACTTTTTGTGTTGAGATGACACAGGACCCTGGGTCTACTGTGTGTGCTGAGATGACACAGGACCCTGTGACTACTATGTGTGCTGAGATGACACAATGCCCTAGGCCTATAATTACTGTTTGCTGAGATGACACAGGACCCTGTGACTATTGTGTGTGCTGAGATGACTCAGGACCCTGTGACTACTGTGTGTGCTGAGATGACACAGGACCCTGTGACTACTGTGTGCGTTGAGATGACACAGGACCCTGTGACTACTGTGTGCATTGAGATGACACAGGACCCTGTGACTACTGTGTGTGCTGAGATGAAAGGACCCTGTGACTACTGTGTGTGCTGAGATGAAAGGACCCTGTGACTACTGTGTGTGCTGAGATGAAAGGACCCTGTGACTACTGTGTGTGCTGAGATGACACAGGACCCTGTGACTACTGCGTGTGCTGAGATGACACAGGACCCTGTGACTACTGTGTGTGCTGAGATGACATAGGACCCTGTGACTACTGTGTGTGCTGAGATGAAAGGACCCTGTGACTACTGTGTGTGCTGAGATGACATAGGACCCTGCGACTACTGTGCGTGTTGAGATGACACAGGACCCAGTGACTACTGTGTGTGCTGAGATGAAAGGACCCTGTGACTACTGTGTGTGTTGAGATGATCAACACAGGACCCTGCAACTACTGTGTGCTGAGATGACACAGGACCCTGTGACTACTGTGTGTGCTGAGATGACATAGGACCCTGTGACAATTGTGTGTGCTGAGATTACACAGGACCCTGTGACTACTGTGTGTGCTGAGATGACATAGGACCCTGTGACTACTGTGTGTGTTGAGATGACACAGGACCCTGTGACTACTGTGCATGCTGAGATGACATAGGACCCTGCAACTACTGTGTATGCTGAGTTGACACAGGACGTACCCTATACTTACTGTGCGTGCTGAGATGACACAGGACCCTATGACTGTCCTTACCGTATGTTCTGGCATGACACAATGCTGGCAGAAGCTGCCGGACTTTACAAGGCCAAAAACTCTATCTTTTTTCTTCAATCTCTTTACTTTGTCACCTACAGCCAACACTTCACCGGCAAACTCCACACCTGATATTAATCAGTGTTATTTAAATGTTCTATGTCAAAGTCCAGAAGTTCTGCATTAATTAAGGTTATCGATTCGTAAAGTGAAATATAAAGTTTGATAATTTACTTGTAAATGTGTAAGTTGTCATATCATTCTGTAAGTATAATAAATCTTTGTACAAGTAAAAAAGTAAACAATTGTGCAATATTTTCATTTGTAACAAAATATAAAGTTGTATTATTTATTTGAAACTGAATAATATGGTACATTTTCAAAAACACTGCCTTGATTGAGAGTAAGACTATGACAAAACAATCAGGTAAAGCTATAGTTTATCTGTACCAGCATGTGGAAAATAAAACTGTTGAAAGTTGCTAGATCTGTACACTAGTTATATATACTACCTGGTACAAACGGAGGATGGTTGACTACTTGGTAAGTTCCTTTACATTGCATTATGTCTGAAAAGTTCACTCCACAAGCTTTCACAGCTACGGAAACCTGCAAGAAACCAAGCATTAGTATACTGTAAAGAATATTAAATTAGATACTATCTTTAAATATTTATTGATATCAGCAGCAGATTTTTGAAGACATCTTATGACCAATTCACAGTATGTGAAACAAATTTATGATTTTATATACAAGATACTTTATAAAATGATTTGTGAATTAGAGCTAAATGAAATATCCTAATTATGAGATGAGGATGTTATTTTACCAATCAAGGGAAACAACTCTTCCAATCTTCACTTCATTTCAAGTTAAGTTAACAGTCAGTGTTAAAAAACGCCACACACTATTTTACTTAAATACCTCGTTCTGACCGAGACTAGATGGATCAAATGTTTTCCCATCATCAATGATCTCCAGGGGTTTAGAGAAATCTGTACAAACTGCTGACTTGTAGGTTGCTCTTTGAAAATGCTGAACCCTCCTGCAAAAAACGTTACCATTAGCACTGTAACATTGCATGTCAACAAGTGTCGATTCACATGTCATACATAGGGAATAACATGTGGTAAACTGCCGCTAGACTAGGCTACTAACCTGCAGGAAATCGCCAAATACCGACATTTACTCCACATGTTCATCTCGAGAAAGCTTTTTAGTCTCCACCGGAAGTTAATAAAATGTGACCATATGTAAACTTCCGGTCCACGTGCTAGTTAACTGTCAGATTAATCGAAGCTTAGGAGCGGGAAGGTATAATTTGGAGATTTGGAGATTTGGACAGGCCACCCATCAACCCCTACCTGGGAATAAATGGGCCTAAATATTGCTTTGTAATTAATACGATATTTAATTAGTATTTATGGTAAGGAAGGGATAAAATTAACTTTCTTTTTCATAGTTTCAAAGTATTGTCATTGTAAGCAGATAGCATGCTGGTGTAAGTAAATGCCAAAATGGAATCACGGAATTATATTAGAGTATCTCAGTGGCGGATCCAGAGACCTATCTGGGGTGGGTTTCCAAATTTCTAGGGGGGTGGGGGGTTGCAAGTGGGGAAAAATTGAGGAAACTGGTGAAAATATATGATTTTTAAATCCCTGGAGCCCAGAAAAACTCTCTGGATCCGCCACTCGCTGTATCTATGTCCGTAATGGAACACAGTACCCAAAATGGAACACTTTTCGTATAAACCAGGCAGCTTTTTTTGTTTTTCAATACAAAGAAATGGTATCAATTCCAAATAAAAATGTATATAGACTAATCAAATTGAATCAATTTTTTCTTCTTCTTTGTGTGTCTTGCCACGTAACTAGATCTTAGTCTGTGGTCTTGCTCATGAACTAAAGTGAAAAATTAAGAAAATTAAATGAAAAAAAATGGAAATCATACATTGTGACAACTATATAGTTATCCTATCACATTTCTAAATAAGAAAAAACAAAACATATTTTAACTAATAAATGATTAAACTTTACTAGAATCTAAGTGTCAAATCTTTCTTCAAATGAAGACAAATATTCTAAAAGCTGTAAGTTATTAAGAAAATTCTCAGGGTGGGGGGGTTTCCTGAAGCCCAAAAAACCCCCTGGATCTGCCACTGTGTTCCTTTTTGGGTACCCAGCAATCTAAAACTTCTAAGTGAATATGACTCTACTAAATGAGCTCCATTAATACTGACAGGCGGGTTAGATACCCTATAGAAACCCATAAAATTAAAGGTAAAGGCATCTATTGTTTTATTATTGCCAAAAAATGGCGTTTCAAGACACTAGTCACTAAATAGGAAATATTACTGTTTTTTCAAGCATTCTAATTACGGTACAGGTCCTCACTTGACTTTAAGATTGTTAGCCATTTGATATAGTATAAAGGTCTATTGTCTTACTTCTCAGGTTGTACTATAGTATAAAGGTCTATTGTCAAAACCACACACGGGTCCATCTTACTTCTCAGGTTGTACTATAGTATAAAGGTCTATTGTCCAAACCACACACGGGTCCATCTTACTTCTCAGGTTGTACTATAGCATTGTGCATATGAAGATGGATCTTGATTTTATTTTTATTTCTGGGTGAAATATTTCCATTAAAACAATAAACAAGTGCAGTCTGAGTGTGGTCTTGTGTACAGGACAAGAATAAGGGGTCTTGGGGTCCCCCCCCCCCCCCCNCCTTTTTTCTATATTGCAGATCAAGTACCCCATAAAAAAAGGTAACTTTTTATTAAGCTCTGTTCGAGAATACAGTTAAAAATTGACTTAATATGCTATCAATCATAACTCATGTGTTAAGAAAATAAAAGGTCACCTAAAAGACCATTTTTTTAAATATTTTTTTTTTCAAGGGTCCGACATTAAAAAAATCCATTTGCTACAATTGTAAATACTTAAATGAATCTCAAGCAATGTATTATTTCCTTGCTATATTTTGAATCAAGAATGTTTATATCTACATGTTTAATTAGAATAAACTTTAGCCATATGTTGATGATATAGAGTAGAATTAAATAAATGAATCTGAAGAAGTAAGCTTGTGCCACAGACTGTGTCAGGACAGTGTTTATTTTCTTTATATACAAAGCATGGTTTATTACTTGCAGGGGCCAGAGGAGGGAACTTCTCTAATCTAAAGATCTGTCAGACTTGGATGCTGGGGCCAGAGGAGGGAGCTTAATCTCTAATCTAAAGATCTGTCAGACCTGGATGCTGGGGCCAGAGGCGGGAGCTTCTCTAATTTAAAGATCTGTAAGACCTGGATGCTGGGGCCGGAGGAGGGAGCTTCTCTAATCTAAAGATCTGTCGGACCTGGATGCTGGGGCCAGAGGAGGGAGCTTCTCTGATCTAAAGATCTGTCAGACCTGGATGCTGTGGCCAGACAGGGAGCTTCTCTCATCTAAAGATCTGTCAGACCTGGATGCTGTGGCCAGACAGGGAGCTTCTCTAATCTAAAGATCTGGCAGACCTGGATGCTGTGGCCAGAGGAGGGAGCTTCTCTAATCTAAAGATCTGTCAGCCCTGGATGCTTGGGCCAGACAGGGAGCTTCTCTAATCTAAAGATCTGGCAGACCTGGATGCTGTGGCCAGAGGAGGGAGCTTCTCTAATCTAAAGATCTGTCGGACCTGGATGCTGGGGCCAGAGGAGGGAGCTTCTCTAATCTAAAGATCTGTCAGTCCTGGATGCTGGGGCCAGAGGAGGGAGCTTCTCTGATCTAAAGATCTGTCAGACCTGGATGCTGTGGCCAGACAGGGAGCTTCTCTCATCTAAAGATCTGTCAGACCTGGATGCTGTGGCCAGAGGAGGGAGCTTCTCTAATCTAAAGATCTGTCAGTCCTGGATGCTGTGGCCAGAGGAGGGAGCTTCTCTAATTTAAAGATCTGTAAGACCTGGATGCTGGGGCCGGAGGAGGGAGCTTCTCTAATCTAAAGATCTGTCGGACCTGGATGCTGGGGCCAGAGGAGGGAGCTTCTCTGATCTAAAGATCTGTCAGACCTGGATGCTGTGGCCAGAGGAGGGAGCTTCTCTAATCTAAAGATCTGTCAGTCCTGGATGCTGGGGCCAGAGGAGGGAGCTTCTCTGATCTAAAGATCTGTCAGACCTGGATGCTGTGGCCAGAGGAGGGAGCTTCTCTAATCTAAAGATCTGTCGGACCTGGATGCTGGGGCCAGAGGAGGGAGCTTCTCTAGTCTAAAGATCTGTCAGACCTGGATGCTGGGGCCAGAGGAGGGAGCTTTTCTAATCTAAAGATCTGTCAGACCTGGATGCTGTGGCCAGAGGAGGGAGCTTCTCTAATCTAAAGATCTGTCGGACCTGGATGCTGGGGCCAGAGGAGGGAGCTTCTCTAGTCTAAAGATCTGTCAGACCTGGATGCTGGGGCCAGACAGGGAGCTTCCTTAAAGATCTGCATTAACTAGATGCTGGGTTAGTAATAGGGGCTCAGTCCTAAGGACTCAAAACACCTGAAACCTGGTGCAGGGCAGCTGAGTCTATGTGACCGATAGGTGGGAGTAATTTAAAGGTAATTGATGCATCTTTACATCATGTTTGCTGTTGCTGAATAATTGGTTGATGACGGCAAATGATGAAAAAAGTTACAACATTGGAATAAAATGTCATTGACTCTCAGGACAGGGTGGTTGTCAGAAGCTTCCATTTAAATTTTAATCATAAGGTGTAATATATTTGAAAATGAACATATTTTCGAGAAAAACAATCAAATTCTCCACTTATCTTCTTCTAAATTATATGTATTATAATCATGTTATCATTGTTTCTAAACTAAACAAAGTGTAACACTATTATATCATTTAAAAGATCAGCATACAAATATATTTTTAAGGACATATGTAATTATACTAAGTGAATGATTCAGGTTCATTAAATTGGGCCTCTTGTTAAAGTCTTGTGTAAAATATCTTTCAACAAAGGGAATAAATCTATGATTATTGTCTTTTGTTATCAACTTTCTAGTTTTCTGAACAAATGATCAGTTTTAGATGTTTTCAGAAATACAATTAGACTATAAGAAAACTTGAAAATTTCAAATACTGCTGATTCAACTTCTATATTTTTTTAAAAGTTGAAACATCAGAATGACCTAGGAGGTTAAGAGAATTTGGCAGCATGAGTTTTCTTTTTATTGTGAGATTTGTCTCCCTTGTAAATGATGTATTGTACAACATAAAGCATTGTTAGTTTCACTTTCAAAAAACAATAAAATCAAAATATTTCAGTTACTCTATACTTTTTATATATAATTGTACTTGTACATACCAGCTAAGCTAATGCTGTTAGGTATTAGATGTTGTTATTTTGTATTTGCAAGTTACAAGTAACTTCCTTATCCAATTTCCTGTTAATAGATCTTTTTTCATATTCCTGATTCTGTACATATTTTTAACTGGGATTTAATGTATATATATGGTAGTCTTAGTGCCATATTCAACATATTGATTGTGTGTAGCTTTGTTGCTCATGTACGTGTCACATTTATGTTGTGCAATGAAGGGGGTGGTACCTGAGGGGACGACCGTCCGGGATACCCACCCTCCCTAAAGTAGATCAAAGTGTGTGTTTTAGCACCATGAAGCAATCTTGGATTTAAACATTATACCCCATGCTCTTACATGTGTTTGTAATTGTTGGTTATTCTACACTCACTTGTGTCTTTGCAGGGTAAGAAACAGTAGCTGGCTTGTGGCAGAGGTGATGCTGGAAATTTTTGCATGATCTTATTTTCTGGATGCAATCTTTTTACAGTTCCCTTGGAGCTCTAAGCGTCCCAATAATATCCTCCTCACCAGATAAGCTCGGGAATCTTCTCATTGTTTTTTTCATTCTTTTACAGTCAATCTCGTATTCTTACATGTTTAATTAAATCTTTCCCAGGAAGCTACATGTAAAATAACAACATTTTTTTTAATTTTTTTTTTATCTGTAATAGGTTTTCAAGCATGAAAGGTAACTGTCACATTTTAATTTTGATTAGATTACCCTACCCAAAGGTCAAAGTGAGATAAGGGTATGGTACAAATTACTGTCTGTCATCAACATTTCCTTTGAAAGACTTCTTTTTAAGAGTGGATTTTGATTAAATTTAGCATGAATCATTGCTAGAACAAGGTAATTAAGTTGTGTATGATATAAAAGGTGTGGTCACACCCTCCCTAACTTAAGTGAACCAAGCCACTGCCACTCCACTGGGAAAATACAGGGTAAGATTCTGATTGATTGATTGGTAGGTTTTACGTCCTCTTCACTACCGAGTAGTTTGGTTATCCAGCAGACCGGGTTAAGATTCAAAACACCACTCCTTACATACCTGTGAAGGGATAGCTTAGAAGTACAGATACAGTCTGGTGTACCATGAACTTCTACCTCAAGGTCAAGAGGTCACAACAAACATGGTATCAGTGGTCAAAAGAATCAGGTAAATGCTTGTCCAAAATCCAGACCATGACTTTTTCCAGGACTGCTAAATATTATTTGATGAAACTGATTAGAGATAAGAATGATGAACATTAGTGTGTTGCATACCTCAAATATGTATGTTCATCGAGGTCAAAGTAACCGTAGGAGGTCAAAGTTCAAATAAATGAAGTGACTTTTCCTCTACTGAATTACTGTAAACTATCGGTTGAATTTCTATGCATAATGTTTGTGTGTTACATGTCAATATATTTAGTGTCAAGGTCACAGCAGGGTTAAAATGTAGGATTTTAAGAAATTGACTGAATTTCATATTTGTAGAAAAGTATAAGTTCATTTTAAATTTGAAGTTATTGAAGCTTTGAACAACTTAGCTTAGTAATAAATTAGTACTGTACACTATGAGTGTTTTACTATAAAAATGGGATTATTGCAATTAATAGAAACTACAGTTCTATTAAATCTAACCTTATAGCTATTAGGTAATTTAAAACTTTATTATAACTTTTTAAAGGTTTAAATAAAATCAGCTAGATGGAATATGGTTAAAAAAAGTTTGCCCTTTTTTTTGCTTTTAAGAACAATTTATATAGCATTCTGTCATAGGAAATCTTGACTTCTATGATTTTTAGGAAGCTAGAAAAAGTATGATAATGGCAGTATTTTTAACTATATTGTCATTTACTGCGAGATAGAAACGTTTGCTTTCTTCACCACAAATAAAATTTGTTGAAACTAATTGCAAAGTAGATTCTGGTACTAATTGGAAGGAACTGTAACATTTTCATACCCATTACAGTTTACTCCAACATGTGTTTTTCACTTAAAAACATGACAGAGGAGGATCATCATAAAATAAGTCAACTTCACCAAACTTATGGAATGGCCAGGTTCCTCCCCCAGGTGTGAGTTAAAACATGGCATGTCGTAGAAATCATCTGATACTGCCTATGCTACAAACACCTGTCACAACTTTTCTTTTGGAGAACATGACAAATGGGGACCATTTGTCTACTTTGCCAGGATTAATCAGAGGAATATTGCTGCAGATACTGGTCTGGTTGTAAGTTGCTAAGGGAGATGTAAGAAAGCTGGGCGAGTATGTTAGGCTTAAGTCATTAACACTGACTAATGCTCCACCTTACCCGGGCCATCATCAGCAGCTTGAGGGGTCGAGGGCCCGCCAAACATATACTCTCACTAGGACCCATTGCGGTCCCTCACACGGACTACGCCAGTTGCATCATGTTTTGTCCGCCAGATCTCATCTGTTTCCTGTGTTTATAAAGTAGTGTTAAAAGTAGGCAGGATGTCACATGATGTGGCTGAAAAAAGGTACTACTGTAAATATTTATGGGGAGTTGGCACATTTCTACTGGGATTATTTCATTACAGGATGAAGAAGAGGAGCTTATTATACCTGCAGTAATACATGCCAGTATACAATGGAAAATTTCATATTCTTCCATCCAGATTTTGGTGAATGGATTATATTTTTAAAGATAACAAAGGAATTTTATCTTTCAAAGGGAACTTATTCACAGCCTTCATTAGCAGGACTTAGTGTACATTTACCTTCCTATTTCTGTGTCCTTTGAACAAATTGGACCATCGTGTAGGTACAACAAGGAAATTGAAATGTAAGCTAGAACACTTAACATATGGCGAGTATAGGATTGATTTAGTACTGATTTCTACTGACAGCAATAGAAATGGGCCAAGAACTCTCTCTTTCGGATTATACCATACTTGACTCTGAAGACGTGTTTGAATGTAAGTATAAGTATAACCTTGTGTGGAGTCAATTGTTGATGTGTTGTAGAAACCCTTCCCCTTATTCAACTTGTTAACATGTGAGTTAGTGTCTTACGGTAAAGTTCAATCATGTTTAAGTACATATTCATTTCAGTATTGTCATAACTTCAGTATGCATATCTATCACGATAATATACATATTACCATTATCACTGTTTTGAGAATATTCTTAAGTCATTTTATGCAGAAGTGTTCCATATAAATCTAATTTGCGATGCATTTAACAGAGTTAAATAGTTGTTTTGAACTTAAAAAATTAAAAATAATAAGTTTCAAATGTCAAACTCTGCACCTCTTCACTTTTACCAAAATTACCAACATTGTTTCTGAGGAATTGTAGATGTACCACCTAAAAATGAGAGAAGGATATATTGACAAGTGAAGCAACTCTAAGCCCCTCATATCCAAATCCATATGCCAGTGAGGTTTTTTTATGAAAAAGCTAATTATAAGAAACCTATTCCTTTGTATACTGTATAACCCTTTTCAATATAGAAGGAAAGCAACTCCAAGTCAGAAAAGAAATATGCAAGTTGGAACTCTCTATTTGTCGGAGGTACAATATTGCACTCAGACTTTCTATTTAATTTGCTGATGTGTGATTAAGTAGACCCCACCCCACTCCACTCAAAACACCCAGGAAATTGACTCCGTCTAAACTAGGATCAATATATCATGGAGTTGTGCACCTGACATTGATATTTGGTTTCAGCTTTTTACCCCAGAGATATTGCTGTTTTTGTTCTTAGTCATTTCAAGCCCTATATGGACAAATATTCTACAACTATGTGACAATTGCAACAGAATCCCAAGTCAGGTGTAATTGGGTTACCGTGACATTCACTTCAAGGTCAAAGGTCAAATAAATACATAATTGCTGATAAAATTTTGTTATGACCATAACTTTTCAACTATGAAGATATCTTGATGAAACTGGAAATGTACCTGTATTACCTGTAGAAAGTGTTGAAAGAGGTCACTGACCTTGATATCAAGGTCAAATGTCAAAATATTTAAATTGTCAGTTGTTCTTGTCTGGGCCATAAGATTTAAACTATTAAAGATATTTAGTTGAAACATGAAGCATACCTGTACCTATATCAGTTATAGAAGGTGGTGCACATGTCACTATGACCTTTACCTCTAGGTCAAAGGTCAGTTAAGTTCAAAATATTCAGTGAAATCCGTCTGAGCTGCAATTTTAAACCATTGAAGATATTTCGGATGAAACTTGAACAATACTTGCATCAACCACAGAGATGTGCACTGCAATACATGTTGATCACCTTCACCTCTAGGTCATGGGTCAAATAATTAGTGCAAAGCAAATATGCATATAAGATGATATGAGGAGACATGTTTTTGTTCACAGAAACAAATTTCGTTTATATTAATTTTTCTGGTACCTAGAACAAGGAAATCTCAATCAGGCAGTAGACTTTTTTTCTCATTGGCTTTGCCCGGAACCTTTAAGTGACATTTCACTTGATTCTGTACAGGAAATATTACTCTGCCATCCTGTCTGGTACAGAGGGAAGTACATGTGACACAGTTATGAATTTTATATCTTAACACAGAAATTGATGGTACAGTAAAAACCACTGCAGTGCTACAGTAATAACATTACAGTTAGAGCTCTCTACCTAAATCTAAAGGCAAGGTTTCTTCTTTCTGTTTTGTTGCCACATTGATTTAGAAAATTGGTTGTTATCGAAAAACATTGTGTTGTGAGTAGTGTTATTATGACAGATTTAGGTAATTGATAAACTAACTATCAAAAGGATAAATGTAACTATAAGGTTTTATAGGACTAATATATAATTTGTTTGGTATTTAAGTTTCTGAATTTGACCTCTGTTTTGCATTCATAATCAACATTTTTGTTGTTGTTGAATGCTGTTCATCTGTTGACTGTCGGTGCCTGCTGACCGTATACAGATTGGAGACTCTTTATATAACAAGAATCAGAAGGTCGTTTGCTAAATATACCAGTAAAACTGTCTGATAATGAGCTACCTGTATGTAAGGGGATGTCTGGACAAGGGCTATTATATATTATTTCTGTGGTATGGGGGTGATTCTTTTGTGGCAGATTCTAAATGTACATAGGATTACAGCCGTCTTCTAGCTTCGCGCTAGAGGGATGGAATCGTAGGTCTGCACCCCCCCCCCCCCAGTGGAGGCATACTCCTCTCTTACCTGTTACTCAGTTGGCTAAAAGATTATTTATTTGGTACAACAGAAGTTCTTAACTTGTTCTGTCAGATGATGTAGATGGACGAGGACTTATATATAGTTTGTTCTTAACCCTCTCTGTCAGATAATGAAGATGGACGAGGACTAGGACTAATATATAATTTGTCCTTAACTTGCTCTGTCAGGTGATGCAGATGGACGTGGACGAGGACTAATATATAGTTTGTTCTTGTCTTGCTCTGTCAGGTGATGAGGATGGATGAGGACTAATATATAGTTTGGTCTTGACTTGCTCTGTCAGGTGATGTAAAGGGAAGAGGACTAATATATAATTTTTTCTTGACTTGCTCTGTCATGTGATGAAGATGGACGAGGACGAGGACTTATATATAGTTTGTTCTTAACTTGCTCTTTCAGATGTTGAAGTTGGACGAGGACTATAATAAAATTTGTTCTTGACTTGCTCTGTCCGATGATGTAGATGGGCGAGGACTAATATAGAGTTTGTTCTTAACTTGCTCTTTCAGATGTTGAAGTTGGACGAGGACTATAATAAAATTTGTTCTTGACTTGCTCTGACAGGTGATGTAGATGAACGAGGACTAATATATAATTTTTTCTTGACTTGCTCTGTCAGATGATGTAGATGGGCGAGGACTAATATAGAGTTTGTTCTTAACTTGCTCTTTCAGATGTTGAAGTTGGACGAGGACTATAATAAAATTTGTTCTTGACTTGCTCTGACAGGTGATGTAGATGAACGACGACTAATATATAATTTGTTCTAGACTTGCTCTGTCAGGTGATGTAAAGGGAAGAGGACTAATATATAATTTGTTCTAGACTTGCTCTGTCAGGTGATGTAAAGGGAAGAGGACTAATATATAGTTTGATCTTAACTTGCTCTGTCAGATTATGAAGATGGACGAGGACTAGGACTAATATATAATTTGTCCTTAACTTGCTCTGTCAGGGGATGTAGATGGGCGAGGGCTAATATATAATTTTTTTTTAACTTGCTCTGTCAGGTGGTGAAGATGGACGAGGACTAATATAGAGTTTGTTCTTAACTTGCTCTTTCAGATGTTGAAGTTGGACGAGGACTATAATAAAATTTGTTCTTGACTTGCTCTGTCCGATGATGTAGATGGGCGAGGACTAATATATAGTTTGGTCTTGACTTGCTCTGTCAGGTGATGCAGATGGACGTGGACGAGGACTAATATATAGTTTGTTCTTCACTTGCTCTGTCAGATGATGTAGAGGGCCGAGGATTAATATATAATTTGTTCTTCACTTGCTCTGTCAGATGATGTAGAGGGCCGAGGATTAATATATAATTTGTTCTTGACGTGCTCTGTCAGGTGATGAAGATTGACGAGGACTAATATATAGTGTTTTCTTAACTTTCTCTGTCAGGTGATGAAGATTGACGAGGACTAATATATAGTGTTTTCTTAACTTTCTCTGTCAGGTGATGAAGATGGATGAGGACGAGGACTAATATATATTTTGTTCTTAACTTGCTCTGTCAGATGATGCAGATGGACGAGGACTAATATAATTTGTTCTTAACTACAGATTGGAGACTCTTTATATAACAAGAATCAGAAGGTGGTTTGCTAAATATACCAGTAAAACTGTCTGATAATGAGCTGCCTGTATGTAAGGGGATGTCTGGACAAGGGCTATTATATATTATTTCTGAGGTATGGGGGTGATTCTTTTGTGGCAGATTCTAAATGTACATAGGATTACAGCCGTCTTCTAGCTTCGCGCTAGAGGGATGGAATCGTAGGTCTGCCCCCCCCCCCCCCCAGTGGAGGCATACTCCTCTCTTTCCTGCTACTCTGTTGGCTAAAAGATTATTTATTTGGTACAACAGAAGTTCTTAACTTGTTCTGTCACATGATGTAGATGGACGAGGACTTATATATAGTTTGTTCTTAACTTGCTCTTTCAGATGTTGAAGTTGGACGAGGACTATAATAAAATTTGTTCTTGACTTGCTCTGTTAGTTTATGTAGATTAACGATGACTAATATATAATTTGTTCTAGACTTGCTCTGTCAGGTGATGTAGATGAACGAGGATTAATATATAATTTGTTCTTCACTTGCTCTGTCAGATGATGAAGATGGACGAGGACTAATATATAGTTTGTTCTTGACTTGCTCTGTCAGGTGATGTAGATGAACGAGGACTAATATATAATTTGTTCTTGACTTGCTCTGTCAGGTGATGAAGATGGACGAGGACTAATATATAATTTGTTCTTTACTTGCTCTGTCAGGTGATGAAGATGGACGAGGACGAGGACTAATATATAATTTGTTCTTAACTTGCTCTGTCAGATGATGTAGATGGACGAGGACTAATATAATTTGTTCTTAACTTGCTCTGTCAGATGATGTAGAGGGACGAGGATTAATATATAATTTGTTCTTGACTTGCTCTGTCAGGTGATGTAGATGGACGAGGACTAACATATAATTTGTTCTTAACTTGCTCTGTCAGATGATGTAGATGGACGAGGACATATATATAATTTGTTCTTAATTTGCTCTGTCAGGTGATGAAGATGGACGAGGACTAACATATAATTTGTTCTTAACTTGCTCTGTCAGATGATGTAGAGGGATGAGGACTAATATATAATTTGTTCTTAATTTGCTCTGTCAGGTGATGAAGATGGACGAGGACTAATCTATATTTTGTTCTTAACTTGCTCTGTCAGATGATGTAGATGGACGAGGACTAAT